CCCCTCTCTCTCACACATACGTGCACAGATTTTTGAGTACATGCCCCCTGTGTTAACACAAACTCTCATTTCCATTTTCTTGTCCCGACCATATAACTCCTTATTCCCTTCTTGACATCACCTGACCTCAAAAAAAAAAAAGAGAGGAGAAAGCACACTTATACAAATGGCCCGATACTAAGATGTCCCCAGGGGCTGTATGCTATAAATCCATCCCCTGAAGGGATGCAGCTTTCTCCCAGACTTTCATTCCCTGGACAAGCAGCCCAGCCAGTGCCTATTCCAATTCCCAATTGCCACGGGTCTCCCAGCGTGACAGGAGCTCCCACGGCCACAGCAGGGACCCTGGAACAGGTCCTCCTTCATTGGGAATAGCCCTGAGCTGCTGATCAACCGCTGTTTTGAAAAGATGGGACCACAAAGGCAACAACAGTTACAGCCAAGCCACATTACAGTTATTATTTATTTTAAACCCTAGCCTTTATCCTAAATCGATTTTTGCTTCTGCCCAGGAAGTGCCAGATCTGAACAAGGACCAGCTCTAAGCTCTATTATTATAACGGACACGCGCTGGGCAGGGGAGAGACAGTACCCAACACCACTCATTTCCTAAAGCTGTTTTCCTCAGCACTGTTTTTGAAGTGCCATTGTAACACTAAACAACTTCCACACTCAAACACAAGAGCAGACCACACTCGGGAACTCATAGGAGTCATTTATCAGGCACAAGGGTGAGACAGAAACAAGCCTGCTTAGCATCACCCGTACATTTTATATCTCTCCTTATTTTTAGAAAGCCTTCCGTCCCCTTTCTTACTGAGGCATAAAAAGATAGGAGCAGCTTTCTGTACAAACACAAGACCCACTCTAAATGAGCTCCTTACCATTCATAAATACAGAAGAAAACAATTCAGGTAAGATTTCCTCCAACAGTACCCCTGAATAAAACTGACAGTAGTACTTCACCCTGTTATTCCAGCAGCTCCTATCCACTCTTTCAGCAGACAAAGAGCTTCAGAAACTTCAGTCCAACCCAAATACCTCTAATTCCTCTCTCCACTTAAAAACAGCCCAGCAGCTTCCTCTCTCTTCAAATCCCCCTCCTGCTAACAAGCATCACCTGAATGAGTCTCCTGCCACAATGAAGCAGCAACTGCAGCAATTACACCAGGGCTTCTGCTCTCCCACGTTGATTTGTAAGTCTGAATATTCCCTTGTTTTTACTTTGGGCTGCTACATATATAATGCATCCCAAAATATTTTCAGCCAACTTTTACAATACTTGGAGTTTATCATATACTTCTAATCCCTTGAATCAAGTGATTAAAAAAATAATCCTCAAAATAAAGTTAGATGCTCCCAGCACTCACAGTTGCAAAGCTTGAAAATAAGAGCCATTTTGACTAAAAGCTCAGAATTTAAATAAAGACAGCCAAAAAGTTAAAAACACTTTAAATTTAATTATTTTACAACTATCCCATGATTTTGTTTTATTTTACTCTAAAGGCTCAAATCCTGACATTTATTTTTTTAATAGCTGCAGGCCTTAACAACTGACTATGCAATAGGCACTTTAAGAAGCAAATCTAGAGTCTGAGCGGCAAGCCTCCGACACAATACGCGTACCCCAGGTGGCTGAAAGCCAGTGCTTGTAAAGGGACTTGCTGACATCAGGATGTCCCCCCCTGCAGAGAGTGGCTCGGACAAGCAGGATTCCTTTCAAGACCTCAAGCAATTCAGACGTTGATCTCATCAAGCTACCATATGTCAGAAGCAATACACCATTTAATTTTGTCTCCATGCCACGAATTCACTCTGCCATTTTTAACTCCCCGTTAAATGCCCGCTCCTTCCCTTCTGCAATGATTCCCACCATTTGTTTAACCCCTAAGTCCCTCGTTCTCCTGGACAAGGAGCCATTAAGAGTGTCAAATATGTACACAGATAGAAAGAAACTGAACCTGCACAAGAATTGAACCTCGACAACTGGGACTCTTTTTGGAAGGTCATGTGAGCTTGCATGTGGGTCAAAACACGGTATGGGAAACGCTTCAAATATTTGCTTAAAAAAATAACAGTTTAAAAGAAGTACCAATTCTGTGTACCTGCCTTTGAAATTTTACTTTGAAGGAAAGAGCACTCGCAGATGACTCCAAATTGAGCTCAGCTCTTCAGCAAATGTTTCTCCCTTGGTTTGTCATTGGGTCAGACAACAAATCACACCTCTGAGGACCACTCTGATTTAGAGGAGTCCCAAATGGGCTTTGCAGGTGGCCTCAGTGAACTTTCTGGTTGGTCTGTACTTCCCCCAGGGCTTAGCCCTTCCTCCAGGACAGTTTTTGGACTGACACTCTGTTCTTCTGCTTCTTTCTGCCAGTCTCTCCCCCGTTGCAAAGAAGACGGTGCTTGTTCTTTCAGGTCATTCCTCTGAGTTGTTTCCAGATCTCCAGAGAATATTTTGCAGACTGGCCCAGACTCTCCAGTATTCTTCTGAAACTGCACCTCTTCTTCAGGAAGGTTTTTTTTTGGCTCTTTCCCATTGCACAAGGACTTTCTCCTTGAAGTTCCCTTGCTTTCCAACACACTGCTCCTGAGATCTCTCCAGGTCTTTCTGAGCCCTCTCCTGTTCCTCCAGGGCTTTCTTCTGAGCTTTCTCTTGCTCACACAGGAGCTCTTTCTGCGCTCTCTCGAGTTCTTCTAGGGCCTTTTTTTTTGCTTTCTCCAGTTCTTCCAAGATTTTATTAGCTTTGTTTTGTTCATTCTTAGCCCTCTCCTGCTCCTCTAAGGCTTGTGGCTGTGTTTTTGCAAGTTCTTTCAGGATTTTCTGTGCTCTCTCTTGTTCTCTGACAGCCCTTATTTGAGCTCTCGCCTGCTCCTCCACAGCTTTTCTTTGTGATAACTGCAGTTCCTCTAGAGCCTTCTGAGCTCTCTTCTGTTCTTCTAATGCAGGCCTCTGAGCTCATTCTTGCTCTTATAGGGCCTTTCTATAAGCTTTCTCCAGTTCCTCCAGAGCATTTTTCCTCCAGAGCCACCTCCAATTCTTCCAGGGCCTTTTTCTGAGCCCTTGCTAGTTCCTCTAGGGCTTTTTCAACTCCTTTTTCTTTCAGGGGTTTCTTCTGAGCTCTCTCATGTTCTTCCTTGGCTTCCTTCTGTTTTTTTATCAGTCCTACCAAAGCCTGCTGTTGAGCTTTCTCCAGTTCCTGCAGAGTCTTCAAGTGCTTTCTCTCTTCTTCCAACAACTTCTTCTGTCCATTCTCCTGTTGCTCCAGAACTTTCCATGGGGCTTTTTCCTCTTCCTCAAGCCCCACCTGTCGGGTTTTAAACTGCTCTTCCATCTGCAAAGCAATCAACTGTTGCTCAAGTTCCAAGTACCACACTGCCTCTTACAATGCTTTTTGTTCCAGACTCTCCTGTTGCTCTGTCACCTCCTGCGGTGTGTTCTCCTGCTGAGCTAACATCTTCTGCTTGACTTGTATCTGTTCTTTCTTCATGGCCTCTTCCCAAGATTTGTCCTTCTCCTGACAGCTGTTTTGTTCCTCCAGGGCTGCTTTCTTAACTCTTTCTGTATCTTTGGGGGCATGGAATCGGTGTCTTCATTATAACCCAGTTGGCAGGCCAGTTCAAGGTCTCTGGCAGCTTCGTGCCAGCAACCAGGAGCTGGAATGCCTTCCCTCACCAGCGGTAGGGCTGTGGAGAACCAGGGTCGATTTTTATTGCGTTGTCATAGTCCCTAATGGCAGCTATTGATTTCAGCAACCTCAGGTAGACACTGGCTCGGCTTACATACAAGACTGCAAGTTGTGGGTTCACTGATGGCGTCAGTGAACAACTCAACAGTTTTGTGAAATTCACCTGCTTTCAGTGCATGAAAGGCTTCCCTTTCCTTTTCAATGGCCTGTTTCATTATCTTGTTAGCTATCTTCAGGTTGTTGTCTCCTATTTTCTGACAATCTTCTTCAGCCTCTTCAGCTAATCCTTCATTTTCAGCATCAAGTTCACTGTCCTCAGTCTTTGATTCTCCACTGGGCTTTTCCTCCCCCTCAGCTCTACATGGACCTTCCATGTAAAACTTACTTACTCTCTTCTGGATATTGTTTTTGCTTTTCAGATTCCCTACAACAGTCATTATCAGGTTCCTGGGAGGTCCAAACGTGAACCTGT